ATCTACCCTTGTATTTTAATAAGGCAAGGTTCCGGCTTTCTTATGCTGACACGTAACCCCCTCTGTGCGGACTAAAATACCCTTGCTTTTATATCTACTTTTAAATGTTGTTATAAGGGTATTATTATAAATTCACATACCAAGATATTTTTCCCCTGCCCTTATTTCATTAAAATTTTAATGGTAAAAAAATTAATTTCCTTTTGTATTTACCAACCCAATGCATCTTTTCCTTGAGCGGAGCACTAATGAGTGCTGATGGTTAGTGTATCATTTTTTTTATGGTAACTTTCATTTTTTTATCTTTTTTTTTCCATCGAACTTTTTCTTATAATTGTGTTTTATTTTATTTATTGTGTTTTCTTTTGGTATATTTTGGTTTTTATTTCCTTTTGGTCTTTTATTTATTGTTTTTTCTTTGTTCAGTTTTCATATGCATGTGGAATTAGGATGATTTGCAGCCCAATTTAATGTATGATTCAAGACTACGGTTGTCGATCTGGATCAATTCTTTTATGCTTCGTTTTACCCGTTTTGAGAGCTGCGAGTTGTCGATAGAGGCATAACATTCAGGTTTTTTTATTTATGTCGTTTGGGCTTTCAATGTGTTTAATTTGACCTTATATTTATATATATATATTCTGTCTATTAAAATGTGTTGGGTGCAAGTTGTAGCAATTTATGTAAATTTGTTATTCTAGAAATTGCTATAGCTAATGCTTAGTATATTATTGTTGCAGCTTTTTGAGATATTTGCATATGTGCCCATTTTTGAATCACTTATTTGTCTAGAGATTAGGAATTGATTTGATGTTAGCAAAAAGTTGTGATAGAATTTTAAAACTATTATTTTCAGGTTAGGTAAAAGGAATTTTATTTTTAAATAGTTTTAGTGGTCATAAACTGCACCTTCGTCTCATTTTGTATCTTCTGCGAGCTAAAAAAAAAGCAGTGGTAAACTTCTAGAGTGCTCAAAAAGGTGTTGGTAAAGTTTTTCTTTTTGTGACTTTTTTTTT